ATCCAAATTAATAGCACTCATTGACCATAGTGAGCTCCATTGAGACTGATGTGGACTATAACATCACTATATCTTGAGCTTGGGAGCTTCATAGCAACAATTTTGTTCTTTATTTCTTCAATTATTGAAATTCAGTTAATTTATGAGTTACCAACATCAAGCTTTTCTTCTTGACTTGCCCAAACCAAAAAATTATTTTTATCACTGGTACCTGTATCTTCCACATGCAAGTGATAATCATAGATGAATCTGTGATAGATGATAGATAAATATATCATTTTCACCAGGAGTCTGTGATAAACGAGCAGCAATAGACTGAATATATAAAACAAACTACATATTATAGATTAATGATTCTAAATAATATGATAGTTTCTTAACCCTCTTCTCTTGAATATCATGCAACTGACAAATAAAAATCAGTGGAGAAAGAATTATTAAAGATATATATGTCCTGAACAGGGATGGAAAAAAAAAACACCATTTCCATTTATAAATTTTATAAATTTTTTATGCATTCCTATTTTAATTTTCTACCCTTAGATAATTATATGGGAAACTTAAGACGGTAACATAAAATCCCACAACGTGCTTTGAATATCGCTCAGCACAAAAATTCTATGGGAAAATAAACCAGCAAAAAACTAGTAAAATCACTAAGCATGGAATCTATGGACATATAGAATTCACTACAAACTACTTCTTGGTTTATTGAAAAAAATTAAAGAAATATTTGGATTGACAGATTTGCTGTTCAAACTACTTTCCAGTTCAATACTCAAAAGTTGCGGATTAGAATGTGGAGTATGGAAGTTGAAATAATCGACAACATTAAGGCCGTCATTAGGCCATGAAACAGGCAATCATGGTCACCACCAAACAAATAAATACACACTGCACGTATAGGGGGCTTGATCGTACTCAGTGACTCTCTGATTAAAGTTTGAGAACAAAATCATGGTAGGCCTTCTAGATGCGAAGAATGCTTCTCTATTATTTGTCATTAAACACCCTCTTATCTATTTTTCCTTGCATTGAGTTTGTGGTTGGGTATATTTCCATGGATGAGGTTTACATAATGCCTAGGCCTTACGAAAAAAGTAAAGCCACACCTCGAAACGTTAAAACAAAATGTAGTTTCGGTGTGAAACCCTACATTGGCCTGAAAATTTATCTTTGCCCTTGATTAAGAAATTTGAATATCTAAAAATACTGCAGGACTTGTGGATATGTGAACACTTGAAAATGGACAGTTCAGATAATGTGTTGCAAGATATATTATCTTCAGGGCTTGGATTCCGTTTTTCTTTTTGGATCCATAATTGTAGAGGTCAAGATGATCAATTTGAGGGCTTCTTGATGCCGGAACTGCAATGTCTGGTGTGATTTGAGGTGCGACTTTACTTTTCTTCAAAAACCCTCGGCCATACAGTAACCTTGCTATTTCTAATTATATTAATGATGTACAACTTGTGTTTGAATAGTGATTCTTAGTGCTTAGAAACATGGAAACACGTATGAAACTCGGGCTGGGCAGGTATGAGTTGGCACACTGATTACCGAGTCTGACCAGTCAAAACTTGGTCAAGACTTGGGCTAGAACTATTGGTTCTCAAAAAGAACCAAATAGAATCAGCCAGGGCTTGGCAAAGTCATCCGGAATCGGCAGGGTGCCAATTCTGAGTGACTCATGTGAGTCTGAAATGCACTTTCTGAGTTTTTTAAACACAGCCAGCTTCGACATTAGTTATTGATTACAAAAAAAAATTATCGACATGAGCATTGCTTGGGCTAGTACTCGCTAATGGGTTGAATTATTCGTTCTCAGAATGATAGAGGAGTTATTCTTTGGATGCCTTCATAAAGAAACTGTGCTTTCACTCCATTGCTCAAAGGTCCACCCTCAACATTACTCTAGACAGATGAGGATCCAAAAATCTACAAAACCATCATTCCCTCTCAGGATCAACTTGTAAAAGATGGATTTGGAGCCCTAAAAATGCTCCATCTTGACTGCCATGCAGTAACCAGATATATGCTGTCCATTTTAAAGGATGCTAGACTGATCAGATTTACAGCAGCTTAGGAGCTTCAAATCCATTATCTTGGGGTAGAAATGGACTTGTAGGTGTTTTGCTTTTGCTGAGGTTCTGGGTCCTCAGTCCATCAAAAAGGTGAAGTTTAAGGTGCGGCCTTAGTGAAGACATAATTTCATGTATGTTTTCCGATCATGTAGAGGAGTTAGCCTTTTGAGCTTCTACCAAGGGTGGTCTTAATTCAATAAAATTACAGAACACTCAAGCACTAAGATATTGACAGACCAATAAACTCAGAGCACAACAGAAATGTAACCTTTTTATGATCATAACAGAACTGTAACCCGCACTATACATAAATAAAAGGTACTATTACACACCATCAAATGCCTCAGCTTTTACACTACATTTTTTTTTGGGTAGGTGCTTTTACACTACATTGATATACACATAGTGCACAAGTTTTTCTTGATAATATGCATGACCATGTAAGCATTGTACATTTATGAAATTAAAATATAAATATTCAAATCATAACTATATATACACACACATATATACATATAATTTTTTACAACAAAGTTGTATGCATTGATTGATCAGATATCTTCTACTGCTACAATTATATTCTATATTAGTACGATAGCATATAAACATAGAACAACAGTATTATACATCGGCTCGTATATAAGCTCATGCCAAAATGCATTGATAGGTTATCACTCATACTTAACAGACCATGATTATGAGGAGTACCACAGGAGGACATATAACTTCTCTTTTTCCCTTTCTGATGAGTAGGACCGTATCAACAAATATTATTTTTTTCTTTCTCAATGCAAAAACAAGTACTACTTTACAGGGAGAAAGTGATGCAATAGAGAAATACATTTCCTAGTGCATGGGGTAATTGTAGCTCATCGGCTTTGCATTTCTCATTAATCAAATTCGAAAAGATCTAAAGAAAATTTTCTTATTGGTCAACATTGTCATTCGTTATTAAATTTGTGATGATGCAGTAGGTGTAAAGAACCATGAAAGAAGAAGACTAGAATCGAAAACAATAATTGAAGAAATGCTCGGAGTATTGCAAATAGAATATAAGAAAATGGACAACATACCCATAGCAAACAGAGGATAACCTTGAAAGGAGAAGGGCCTGAAGCTCCAATGAGAAAAGATAAATCTAACAACAAACTTCACATTGTAACTTCTTTGTAATAAGCTCCTTCATTTTGAGAGTCATAACAATGAGACCTTAGGCCTGGATGTTGTAAATACCATGTGAACAAAGAAAGGGCAATCCATAATCTGAATTTTCATAGATACATATAAAACACCAGGGTAAGCATTTGACTTCCATGTGAATTTGGTTTACTCCAGCACGGAATGTTAAGAGTTCAAAACTAGGCATCAGATTAAAGATCTCTCATAACAAAATTTCGACATTGAAATAGTAGATAATTAGAATATGCAAGGTAAAATTCTAACAATAACGGCGTAATCGGACCTGCTTTTACATATCTATCGTTTTGGGTACCATATTCACTTCGTTTGGGCTTTTATTGGCCGCTTAGGAGTGAGAACGGCTTGGCTTGATGAAGCTAGACCATGTTGAGGCCAATTGATTAAGCCTTGTGCCTCGTTGGCCAATTGAATCCAACGAGCTCCAGTATAAAGATCTTCATTGGTGCGCAAGACGACTGTATACCACCACTGATAGAGACTGGAATAAGAGATATTCACCTGACCGAGAGCACCCCCTCGAGTAGAGGCCTCTACAACAATCATACGGGCACAGGCACTCTCTCTCTCTCTCTCTAGAAAGTATTTGTTAGAACAATTTAGATAAATGACAGTTCAATATTGAAATATCACCATTTGTGGTCAAAAACCAGAAATTCAAAGGTAGAATTCAAACTAAATACAACATGTGGACTTGCAATTCAATTACAAAACGTCAGTAATTGTGCTTAGAGAATTAGAATTAGGAAGGTAAAATTCAAACCATATAACAATCAGGAACTCTCTTTCTCTCTCTCTCTCTCTCTCTCTCTCTCTCTCCTTTTCTCAACAATGACCGACATCAACACACATGGCATGGTGTACGCTGAAAAGCCCTGCACAGTCAATGCTGAATAAGAAGAAACAAAATTTGATCACCCACTGAAGTTCAAATGGCAGAACACAGCAAGCTTTGTTTCTCTCTCTCTCACTCCTTTTCTCAACAATGACCTACATCAACACATGGCATGGTGTATGCTGAAAAGCCCTGCACAGTCAATGCTGAATAACAAGAAACAAAATTTGATCACCCACTGAAGTTCAAATGGAAAAACACAGCAAGCTTTGTTTCTCTGTATTACAATGAATGAAACCGCATACACCATGCAGCCTGAAGCTCATCATTGGTGAAGCCAAGAGACACTGTAGAACAGTCCCAAATGCTGATAAAATGATAAGCTGATAAAATTTACAAACCGCTATAGTTCTGTGAATCATGTAATTTCACAGAAAATCAACAATATTTCTTCTTCTGATTAAAATTTGAATATGATGTCCTGTTATATATCCAAAAAAAAAGTAACTCAAAGAAAGGAGATCATGTATGAGGGTCACTAGCTAAAATCGTGCCAAATTAATTTCCTCTATATACTGGTAAGAAAGTATATAGAGAGAATTGGAGTTCTCGATAACCAAGAATGAGATTTTGAAACCAACATGGTCATGATCTTCCTCATATCATCAACTGTATGGGACCCAAAATATATATCGAGGAAAAAGAAAACTTTATAAAGAATCCTGATCATTTTATTGATGAAACACTTCGAAGTCCTGATCATTCTATAACTCAGTTCCTGCGAGAAAGCTTATAAATATGAATTCAATTAAAGTCTCATTTGAGTTTGTACGTAATGGATTCGTAGTTAGAAGCTCAGAGACAATATGTCCAAAAAGACATTATTAGAATTAATCAACATAAGTTTATAGCACTTGCTAATGATTGTGACAACAATGGAAACTAGAGAAACTAATAGATTTAAGATAAAAAAAACCCAAAAATTCGGGATTCATATACCATCTCAAACATAACTAGGACAACAAAATAAGGCAACATATCTCTCAGACCAGCTTGTGATTTCAGGCAAAGAGACTAACCTTCACACCGCAAGCAAGGCAAAAAGGAGAAAACAAAGACAAAAGAAACCAAAAAAATCAGACGAAAAGGGGAAACAAAGCAAGATAGGAGAAACTCAAGTGGAAACCATCAGTTTTGAGATCAACAAACTGGCTTTTATAAAACCCCAATAAACCGACAAAATATGCCGGAAAAATCTCACTTGCATTCGACACCAGCCTCTGCCGCTCTTCTTGGTGTGCTTTTTCTATTTCTTCCATTTTGCCTGAACCCATTAGGCTTCATCTCTCCATTGATGGATCTCCCTCCTCCATTTACCTCTGCAACTGAATCAGCTTTCTCTTTCACCTGTCTCTTTCTCTTTCTACCATTTTCAGTTGGGACCTGAAAATTTCCCACCTTGCTCGAATCCGAAGGCTTTGAAGCCCCATCTTCTTCTTCTTCCTCTTCTTCCTCCAGTTTCCCTGCATCTTCTTCTTCAATCTCATCCTTTAATGGCTTTTGGGGCCTTCCCCTTCTCTTATAAGCAGGGAGAGCGTCTTCTCCTCCACTTCCTGGATCTTCATGGCTGGCAACCACTGTGAGTTTTTTGCCTTTGCCTCTTCCCCTTCCCATAACACCAAAACAATAAAACACCAGACAACCCAATAAAAAAAAACGAATCCAACAATGGTTTTGAGCTCCAAATAACTGAAATTGCAAAGATCTTCTCACTTCTGATGAAGTTTCAGAGACTAGCTTGAAGCCCCATATTCCCCATTGCAAAATCCAATACCAGACACTTCAGTATTCACCATATCTCCGAAATTGAAGAAGTTTTGCTGAATGAAATCGATTGTCAGTGATTTGCAGGAAGACAAGGAAGCTCAATGTGTAAAAGAATCCAGAAATAAAAATCCATGAATTCGGTTACAGAGAGAGAGAGAGGAGGCTCTTATGGCTTGGTAGTGAGTGTGGGCCCGGGGAACAGTACAAGAACCCTAGATCAGAGAGAGAGAGAGAGAGGGAGAACGTGTTAGTGAGGAGATAAGGGTAAGGGTTAGTTATGAAGAATATGCGCCATTTGAGCTTCAAGCCAATATGAGTATTGAGCAGAAACCGAGAGAGAGAGAGAGAGAGAGATTGTTGCGGATAGTTTCAGTAGAAATCCGTTTGACGAATTATTTATGAAGAGAGAGATATTTGATTGGCCATCGATATTCCTTAGCTTGGGTTTTCATTTTTCTTGCAATTTTTGGGTTTTCTTTTATTAAGTTTGAAAAAAAATTATATAAGGGTGAAGTCCTAACCATCCAATTACGGCACACCTCAAAAATTCACACGAAGAGGTAAAAAATTCACACGAAGAGGTTATTTTGATGCTAAAAAATGTTTAAATCGATCACCTAAGCCGCAAGATGTATAAACATGATTTAAAATAGATTTCAAATTTTGGAATGTCAATTTTTAATATTACCAATTAGTCATAGATATGCTCGACCTAGGTTATTTTTTAAGCTTTAAATATTATATTAAATGTAAAAATAAATTTCCCACTACTAAAATAATATATTTGAATATTATTTCAAGGTCTGCCTTACTTTGATTGTTTAAGGCCTGAGACCTATACAGACCGCACCTTCGAGTGAAATCCTTAAGATGATGGAGCATAAGTGTTCTGCTGCCTCATAATCATACTATACATTTACTCCCTCGGTCAGAAGACCAATGGGTAGATTTTTTTAAAAAAATCTAAAATTTGAGTATATCTAAGAATTTATAGATGATTATTATAAAAAAAAATTAAAATTAAAATTTTATTTTTTTAATTCTTGGATCTCATAATCTAAAGGCTAGATGGTCGCCATTCAATTTTGAAACCTTCTTTTTTTCAAGCATAAAGGATAAAATTAGAAGGAAAAGTTTTCTATACTTCCCCAGCATAGAAGATTTATGCTTCCCCTACGATCTGGCTGTCCAATTTTGATCACGAGAGCTAGTCACCATTTGATCTTAGATCTGATGTCTTAAAATATTTTATTTTTATTTATTTTTATAAAAATTGTGTGAATATGAAATTTGGTAGGTACCATTTTCTCATTGGGGTGCACCTATACAAAATATTAAAAATAAATTTTTGATAAAATATAATGACTAAAATACCCCCTTAAAACTTTCAAAGGTATTTTGGTTATTTTATTTTATTGAAAATATATTTTTTATATTTTTCGCTAGTACTAGCTTAATAGAGGATTGGACGTATAATATTTCGTGTCAAAATAGCTTATATAAAAAAAAAAAATTAAAATAAAATGGTGTAGAGATGTGATATTGTGATTGGGGCAATCTTAACCCTCCATTCAAAATGAACGGTTGGATAAGAGGAAGTGTATAAATTTTATGTCGTAGGTAAAGCATAAAAAGCTTGCCCAAATTACAAATATCTTTTATTGAGGTTAATCTAACTTTTTGTTTATATTTTATTATTTAGTTCAATAGGAGTTGAGAAAGAAATTACACGAGGGAGTAAATGACAACAACATACTCCTACGGGAGTATAATATCTTTCGGCAGAAAGATCACACGTTTCGTTTGCGGAAATGCGACTTTCCCTTCTTCTCATAACCGCGTTTTTTACCGCGCTTTCAAAGCAGCCACGATGAATCCCACACTCAATATTTTTGCCCCTTATCATTTGACGAAAAGACATAGACCCCATGAAATTTATATTCTATCTTTAAAATGATGAATTCCTTCTTGCCCCTTATCATCTGACGAAAAGACATAGAACCTCATGAAATTTATATTGTATCTGTAAAATGATGGATTCCTTCTTGCTGTGAGTTTGTATTAGTTTAGTCATCATTTCTCGAAACAAAACAAACTATAAAAAGTATAGCACTGTGATATAATCACCTGATCTAGATTAGGGATCGGTGACGATTGACTCAATTACAGATCAAAACATGGAATCGGTTTAGTTCCTCATTTGAGTTGGGAATCCGTATGACTCCCATAAAGCCGACCAGTTCTATCGGGAACCATGCAATCCGAACTGGTTTTCCATATGGTCAATTGACTCGTATGGAATCATGATATGCAAGCCGATGTTTAGATGCTGTTTTGTTTTTTTCATTTTTATAAATTTTATCAACGTGCAAAATTTAAAGATACAAATGTTTGACTGAAGTACAACAAAAAATTTAAAAATGTACTAATTATAAACAATTGATCAAAATCTAGCCCTTTATCAATGAGCACTGGCCGTCAGGATAAACCTTGCTGATTAAAGATGCCCATTGGACTGAAACCTTAGGCCTGCCAAAGGGACTCCCTTTCTTAAAATTTGAATTTATTCGTTTCTTTTTCAACTTAAAAACATTCTACAATTGTATCGTATATTTGATTTGTAATTCTTTTGGTTATATTATAAGGGGAAAATTTCGATAGGAGCATAGAGAATCCACGGCATGTGGCTTTAAGAAATGAGGCCAATAGGAAAACATTGACAATGGCGTTGATTTTAAATAAAGTATCCATAAATATTTGGTAAGCCTTTTACTAACATGTGCCTAAATAGTGAACTTTGTACACATTACGATCTACTTTTGAATAGGGTTAGTTTTTTGTGATTTTGTCATGGACGTATGATGGAAAATAGTGCATAAAGCAAGGGCTGAAATTGTGTTAGATTCTTTTTTTTTTTTTTTTTAATAAATTCTTCTTATTTTGCTTGTCGGCGTGACTTTTTCTCTTTAAGTAATTCAATGTGGATGGGTTCCTTCCGGGCGGTAAAATTGAAGCTCAAGACCTCATGTTGTACCGACTTACCATCCTTACCACCTAACTTCGGCGGTAAAATTGAAGCTCAAGACCTCATGTTGTACCGACTTACCATCCTGACCAGCTACCTTTGAGACCGTTAAATTCTACCTCAATAGGCAGCCGGCCTCTTTGACCTCCGATCATTCTTTACGGATGGCCATCCATGGATCTTGATGGTTTTAATAATCCACTTGGTAATGGATGGCTGAGATGTAGCTGTGAACATGAATTAGGTAGGTCCATCATAGTCGTCCATTATGCCTTATTTGTAGGTTACTCATAACTGTGGTTACTAGCCATTTAGTTCAAAGAATGGCTAAGAAGTGATGCACTCCTCTTCTTTTTTTGGAGTGTTCACTTTCCTTGTCATTACTTTGAAGTTGAAGAACGTGTTGTACATGAAGGCCATGTACAAAAGAAACAAAAACTTCTGCACTCCATAAAAGAGCCTGGGCTACCTGTCTCTAGGAGCATCATACCCTGACGGTTCCATAAAGGTCCCCAAAACATGGTAAGAAGAAAAAAGAAATCAATTATATACATCAAATCAAATCGCAATAAGGGGAAAAAGGATATGTGACAAGATATAAACCAACTCACCCAAATAATTTTAAAAAATGATACGTAGCAAGAAAATTTACCTTTTAGTACAAAATTTTACAATCACCCTAATTCTCAAAGAAATGTATATACCATTAACAGATTTAAAGTCCTAGAAAAATTCCCATTGTATAGAGAAATGATATACCCCAGTAATTCTATTTTACATTTTATGGCTTGTGATGCTTGTGACCTTTATGTCTAAGAGGCCATGGCCTTATTTTCAATTTAATAAAAGGAAAAAAAGGTAAAAAAATATCATTTAGTTTTGCTATACATTTTTTCTGTCAAACATCATATTTAGGAAAAGTAATTCAAAATGTTGTGAATGCATGCAACCGCACCTCAAAAGTAGCAGGAGAAGCCATATTTGGCACTAGAAATAGGTTAGCGATTGTGAATGAAAAAAAAAAAAGGTACCTTAAGCCCTAAAAATGACCAATTTTGCAACAATTTTCTCGATTGTTGATTTCAAATGTTCACGTATCTGCCAGGTCTCCATCATTTTTTACGCTTCAAGTTCTATAGCCACGGGTTGAGATAAACGGCAGGCCATCACTATATTTTCCACTATTACAAGATTTGGTTTTTCTCTAGAGGCTTCAAGGTTATGGCATACACAACTAATGACATGCCAAAACCTTTATCCAAAGATTAATTAAGGCGATAACATTTATAGCTATAATCTTTACCATTCATCTTACTTGATGGACATCCAAACCTATTCAAGCCATTAAAAATTTAGATATATTTGTATATAATGATCTAACACAAGGTAAGTGGTTAAGTGTTGAGGATTGATGTCTTGTATTATGAAGAAATAGATTTATCAAGGTATAGTCAAAATGACAACTCCGTACATGAGATTCGATATATCTGGGATTCGATATATATCTGTATTTTGGGTATTTCGATAATTTGTACCATCTATCTGGTACTCGATATATAGTGTTGCGACTCGATATACATTGTTGCGATTCAATATATATTGTTGCGATGGGGAGTTTATTTAGGGTTAAGGGAAACACACAAATTTCTTTGTAATAATAGAGAACAGCGACGCGTGAGGAAGAGAGCTATTGTAATCATATTCTTTATTGTCAGTAAAGAAGCTCTTATCTCTCGTAGATGTAGGTACGTTGTCTAACCACATATATCTTTGCATTGTGGTTGGTTGTCTATTTTTTTTTTGTGTTTGTTTCTTTTTTCTTGTTTTCGTGAATTGTTTTTCGTTTCTACATTAAGATCGTGGGATGCTACAAAGTGATGCCTTGGATTACATTAAGGGTCACCACATTTTTTATACTAACAAAAATTTTACATGCAAAAACCAAAAATATGATCTCAAATGTCATCGTGTTTTTTCAATGGACACGGTTTCTATGAGTCCACGTAGAAATGAATTACCTCTTAAAAATCTATTTTGGAGATGGATTTTTGGACCTAATTTTTAAGGACATGTAATTTCTAACATGGGGATCATGAATATGAATAAATAAATAAATTTTAAAAACTAAAAACAATAGTTCTATTAAAAAAATATTTTGGACCGTTAGTTTCAATTATTTCTAGATTGACCCCTTATTTGCATTCATCTTTAATATGGATGCTTTATACCTTGGGGACCGCAAACGTTGAAATAGGTCCTTGTTGCATGAAACAATTTTCCATATACCTATTTGCATCCTCTTATTTCCTTTTTCAATTGACAACAATTTTAGAGGCCAGAAATGAGCAATTTAGGTCTTTTTTCTCTCTCTCTCTAGTCTCTACATAGTGCACTTATACGTTATGG